TATGAGATGTGGTTGTGATGAGAACTGTTTCCATGTTGCAATAGCGAATTGTTTTGTCAATGCGAAGGTATCAATAGGCACGAATGATTGGATACATATTTACCGCAAGTAATTGTTGAATCATTGACTCAAATAATGTTTCGGTCGGTTGGATTGATTTGACCTCGAACCTATTGTTTGCGTCGCTATCTACAGTCACTTGCCGTCCATTTTTCGCCCGCTTGCCATTTACTATGGCGTCAGACCTTGGACCACGTTAAATTACTATCCTTATCCAGTTCAGTATCTCAGCCCACATACAACTTTGACACTTTCTTCAGACATAAACTTCATCTTGCATCGGCCGTCGCGCAAATTATCAAGGGTTGCCTTATCTGCTGCATATAGCAGGGCAGATAAGCGAAAGCATGCTACTGCTAGCGCCTCCCTTCTTTTTTCCCACCTGTTTCTCTTACTCCCATCCCGACCCCCATTACTAACCTTCCTTCTATAATTCCCAGCTTAATTGACAGCAAGCGAAGTGCCACTGGAGTAGTACCATCTGCAGCCACCATCCCACAGCATCTATCGGCAAAGTCCCTTATAGGGCCACGCTATCCCGTTTTCATGGCGATATTCAACATGCGCACTCTAAGACAAATACGTAAATAGGCTGCACTCCCACGTACCTTGGACACACTGGGTATCGATATGTGTTGTGTGTCCGAAACTAGGATCAATGACTCTAACGGGGTTATTGAATTAACTGCACCCGACTTATCCTCTCGTTATTGGTTGCACGCATCTGGAGACGCCGATGCAGCACTCACGGGTTAAGCTGGTGTAGGTATCATTCTAAGCTCCAAGGTTCAACCATGGTTGATTGATTGGATTCCGGTGAACAGCCGTTTATGTGCAGCTCATTTGACGACATCAGTTAAGGTTGATTCACGAAATACTACAAAAGGCTGTTTGTTTGTAATTTCCGCTTATGCTCCCACCGACTGCAGTTCTAATGCTGCCAAAGACATTCTCTCACGAACTGATCGCGCTGCTACTCAGTGCTACTAGTTCAGATGTTATAGTACTTGCAGGGGATATGAACGCACAAGTAGGACGTCTGAGCTCTTCAGTAGCTCAGCTGGGTGGTAATTATGGGCTTAACTCCGAACGGACTGGCAACGGTGAGCGTCTGCTGCAACTGTGTGCGGAGCACCAGTTGTTTCTTAGTAGCACTGCTTTTAGACACAGTGGGCGCCGAAGTGCCACTTGACGTCCTGTAGCTGGTCAGCGATGGACCCAAATTGATCGCATAGCCATAAGTTACAGATGGCGTGGTTCCATCCTGGATTGCCGCTCGTACTGGAGTACTTGCGTCGACTCTGATCATGCCTTGGTACGCTGTCGTTTCTCCATGAACTTTACCGGGAGGCGAACCAAGCGTCTCCTTCGACTGGCAACTGAGAAATTGTCTGAGCCCTCGTTCAGACAAGCCTATCAAAACGCACTGCGTACCGAACTTTCGCTGTCTTGTCCTAATGACACTAAGCTTCATTGGAATAGGATATCGGCCGCTATGCACGACGCAGGAGCATCTGTTTGCAGCACTATCAATCGTCACCGCACCAGTCACTGGATATCCGAGAGATCGGTGAACCTGTTGGAATCCAGAAGAAATCTCCCGACTAGCTCTGAACACAGTGTGACCAGACGGGCTATTAGGCGTGAACTAAAGCAGAGCCTACGTGCTGGCAAGGAAGCCTGGTGGACCAGTCGGGCTCAAGAAATGGAGGAGGCAGGAGCAGTAGGCAATTACCGCAAGCTCTTCCAGCTAATCCGCATCACTGGTTCCAGAAAACCAGGCGTCAGTGAGACAATCAGAGACAGTGTGGGTGCAATGATACACAATAAGGAGCGCCGTATGGCTCGTTGGGCGGAACACTTTGAAGATCAGTTCAGCTGGCCCCCTGCTCCCGGACCTCTTCTTACTCAGGTGATGCAGGACGAGCCATGGACGGTTAGTTTAGAGGCTCCGTCGGAGGCCGAGGTCCGAAACGCGATCACAGACCTCAATGGTTTTCGTGCCGCTGGCCTGGATTCCCTCTCGCCTGCACTATTTAAGGATGGAGGTGAAGTCCTCTGCAGGGCACTGACCTCCCTATTCCAACATATCTGGAAGGAAGTGTCCCGGCTAATTTGCGGAAATCGAATATAGTGGAAATATACAGGATGTGCAGTCGCACAGACTGTTCTAACCACAGAGGTATTAGTCTAACGCCAGTTGTGACAAGATTTCCGGCCTCGATTCTCGTTCGCCGAATCACTGCGGAACGGGAATCCCGGATTAGGGAAGAGCAGGCCGGTTTTCGCTCAGGACGTGGCTGTATAGACCATTTATTCACTTTGCGGCAGGTGCTAGAGCAGCACCACGCACACTGCAGACCGACAATAGCTGTGTTCCTCGATTTCAAGAGTGCGTTCGATTCAGTCGATTGATCGATTCTGTTCGAAATAGTTGCGCGGAAAGGTGTTCCCACGAAATATGTGAACATCCTTCGTGCTGTATACTCGAACACTACAGGCCGCGTCAGGGTCTACGGTGGCCTATCGGATAGCTTTCCGACTACGAGTTGCGTTCGTCAGGGTTGTCCGCTTTCCCCATTTTTGTTCACATTTGTCGTGGATTCTATCGTGGAGTGTTCCTTTAGAGAATCTCATGAGGTAGGCGTTGAAGTGCTGCATGGTGAAAGGTTAGTTGATCTAGATTATGCGGACGATATCGTCTTGCTTTTCGACGATGTTGCGACGGCACAATAAACCCTGAATAGCCTGTCTAGTGGTCCCGTTAGTTTGTGTGCGCTTCGCACCTTCAAAGTGCAAAGTGTCGCTGCAGGACCACCAGTCACTTGATGACCCCTTGCTAACGTGGAACTCGAGGTGGTTGATCAATTCATTTATCTTGGCAGCTGCATCAGCAACGATGGGCACATAGAAACTGACGTAAGCTCACGCATTGCAAAGGCCAGAGCTGCCTTCTTGAACCTGCGGCATCTTTGGCGACAGAAGAGAATTTCCCTCCGTCTGAAAGGCCGTGTATACAAGGCCACAGTGAGGACCGTCCTCTATGAGAGTGAGATTTGGCCCCTTCAGTCTGACGATATGAGGTGCCTTCAAGTCTTTGATCATCTTTGTCTGCGAATCATTGCTGGAGTCGGATGGCACCAGCGTGTCCGCAACGATGATGTGCGCAGGCGAGTACTAGGTGGTGATAATCATGCTAGGTCCCTAGAACAACAGATATTACTGAATAAGTTGCGTTGGCTCGGGCACGTGCTACTTATGCCTGGTCACCGTTTATCTAGTTGGGCCTTGTTCATTCTACCAGGTGTAGGATGGCGCATGGCTCGAGGTGGACAGAAGTTGATTTGGCAACGGGAAATGAAGTCACTGACGACCAAACTGGGTGCCGTTGGTCCGTCTAGCCTTCCGGGCTGAAGTCCACGTGACTAGCCTTGTGCTTGGCTCGAGATTTTACAGGACATGGCTCACAGTAGACACCAGTGGCGCGTCTGCTGCCGTCTCCTAGTGGGATTGCCTGTTTAAAGTGTGTTTGGTGCTGAGTTATCTGCGGGGTAATGGCTGACTATGACTCGGGGCCAGTGAAAGCCTCAAGGAAGCTGTCTCGTCTATGCAGCCTAATTTTTGCACGATAACCAGCTGTTTGTGACGGTATGTTGTCTACACAAGGTGTAGGCGCCTTGACCCAGAATGTTTGCTTAGGGCATTAAGGTTTCCAGGTAAGTCCCCCTTTTGTTCCTCTTCTTATCCTTTATGTCGTAGATCCTGATGGTTGTTTGGGAGCGAAGCATCAGTTCAAATGGTTGACGTGCTGCTGTTGATGATGATGACGATGACGACGACGACGATATGCAGTTCAGGGAACCGTGAGCCTTATGGGATGGGGGATCGCGATCGCTGCTTAAGGGCCACCTGCCGTTGTTGCAAGATTCTTCAGGTGCCAGCCAACGTGTCTGTTATACTCGGCTGACAGGCAGCCGTGGATCAAAACCCGGCACTACTGCACTGTACATAGTTATAAAGAAATGCAACCAGTAACGTGTCAACAGTGGACCACTCCAACAGAAGTGGAGCGCTTGGGATCCGCTGATGTAGATGCACTAGGAGTAGGTACAGAAGCAGTGCAGCAGGGAGTCCAAAGATGAGTGGAACGGTTGATTGCCAGAACTGACGTCTCTGGTTCTTAGTATTTACCACAACAAATAACTCCGTTCGCACCTTAGGTTCTTGCACTACCTCGGCACGTCGCTGTACCGGTGGTATTGTGACAAATATCGTGAACCATCTGCACGTCAGCTCTGACTCCCAAACGTTCTATTATCCTCGAACTTCCTCCTGGAGCTTGCATGACCCACACTGATTCTATTTTTGTTTCTAGTACACATTCATCTGCGGTTCCCAAGAGTTCACCTTCTGTCAGAACGTTGGTATCGTCCGCTGTTGGCCCATTACTACCGGGTTTTCTCTGTAACTCTATACTACTGCCTTTTGGCACAGTAGTACTGCTATTAACCCATCACAGCATAACTAGTCTCGTTCTGATAACATCATCGTAGCCCATATTACACGAAGACACGAGACTCTTTCCACTTCAGGTAGCTTAACCATTATACTTTTTCTACTATTATTGCCACTGTTGTTATCAATTTAGCAACAGAGCTTGTTAATAGTCCCTATCCCCTGACCATGCAGTACGAAAAGCCCCAGCATTTCTGGGCGAAACCAAAAGCGAAGTTGTGTGTTGTCTTCGGTGGGTGCAGAGCGCGTTGTTGTCTGCTATTTGTGGTTCGTTTGCAATTAACCATAACGCCTAACCCACTTTCCAGTGGATATCTGGTGGTTAGGATGAGGTTCTCATTGTGTTAAAAGTTTGCAAGCACATTGGTCACATTTCTGTTCCCTGTACACATCGTCTCTACTGGCCTCTTCCCTCTTTCCTTCAGTTACATTTCATCCGCCGCTTGTGCCAAACTATTCCTACTCACAATGCTCCAATCCTGGCCAGGTGAGTGGCTACTCCAATGCTGATCGTTTTTTTACCGTTCTGTTTCAACGGCGTCTATCCAATTAATTTAGGCAGTTCTTCGTTATGGTGCTTTACGGACTGAGAATATTCGGGCTTCAAGCACCATCCTAATCATCATCATGACTACTATCCTATAACCTTCCTGAAAAAATTCGCTGAAAAGCATAACGCAAAGGAAGTTGTCGATGCGCTTGTATTCGTGCATTTGCTGCTTCCAGTTGATGTGTTATTACTAACTTCCAGTTTCTCATTAAAACATAGAGCAGCATCATTTCGACGGGATTTTTACGGTTTTTTGCTATCCTTTTCTCCGACGATCTTTTTCCATAGACCTGTCTCGTGTCCGGCGCTTAATCGAGGAGACCCATGAGAGTAGCGGTTCATGCGTTTAACCTTTAGCCACCCTGCGTTCCGGGTTTGAATCCCGGCGGCTGCAGTATTCAAGCCAGCGTACAGCCGCTTGCTGTCGCACAGCTTCGAATCATCTGCAGAGAGCGCTGATGCAGTGCTGAAGGGTTTCCTTCAGCGCACAATTTAGTGGGTAACTCGGTCATAATCTAGTCAGTACAAGTTGCCTCACTGTGGGACATTCCAACATCGCTCCTCGTTTTGTGGAATATGAAGTGGGTGGTTTTTAGCTCCGGCTTTATTTTTGGCTTCAACGTCTTTCCACCATAAAGACAACTATGGCTTCACTGTTCACATTCCTCTTCCTTTTCAATTAATTCATCTTCGTCCGTAGTGGGTTTTTCCTTCATCACCACCATCAATAGCTGCGTCACGTCGGCAATTTGTAAAGTCTTACAGACGTAGTGTCCTTACGACAGCGTAAGCAAGAGACGGATGGGTGGATCTAACATGGTTGGCGGCATCCGGTTTCGGATTTGCCTGTCACTGTGGCAAGCCACAGGACGCCTGCGCCTACAGAGGGACCATGGATGGCTTGCGCTGCACCACCCACAGCTCCAACCACATACCTCATATCCAGTGTAAACCCGAAGGAATAAGACCGGGAGGCATGCGGATGGGAACCATGTTTCATCAACGGAGCCGGCCCACACTCCTTCACAGGCAAACACAAGCACGCTGTATTTGGGGAATCAAGCGCACACAAGGAGGTGGCTGGACCGTAGTCCGCTCCACACTGAGTGCATGGAACCGCTCTTTGAGCCTAGCACGGCCGCAAGGACCGTGCACCCCGTCCCCTCCAGCAACGACCAACTGTCTCCTGGAGCCAGTATGAACGAGGTAGTGGGTAATAGACAGGTAGGCACCTTGTCAACATACACATCAAGCACAACCATACCAGGGATATTACACAATAGCCATTCACTTTAAACGACAAGCTGAAATAAAATAAATCCAATAATGCATACAGATACGGTGGCATAACTCTTCGCTAAATTACCATATGAAGTAATTTGGTTAGCAACAAATCCGTGATAAGTAAGAAATGTCCACAAGTTACTTAAAATGCTACAAACGCAACAAATTTACCGAAGATAAGCGCAATTAGTGTAAGCAACGTGGCCAGTTGATAGAACATTATTTAGGGAGGCAGAACAAACCAAATAAAGCGGAATGAAATTTATCCAGATTAAAAAGAGCTAGTTTAAGTGTAAGTTGGTTTAGCCCAACTGCGGTGAAGAAGCATCAAGAATGCAACATCAGCCTCAGCATGGGATCTAACATACATCCTTGATATCATAAGTGGAAACTCTAAATCAAGGCAGCTGCACTTTGCACGCACTTTGAAGTCCAATACACTCGACTTCTGGAGTAGCATCGACGAAGCAGCCGTCTTGCGACCCTCTAATCGACCACAATACATTTCACCATTTTGGTTGGCTGACATAATCCTGTGCTAATATGTGTGCGCTTCTCCTTCGCTGGCCACTGCACTGTTGTGTCTATCTGTGGTCTTGCAAAGCGGTGCAAGTGTACTCCGCTGCTCCAACTAGTTTCCTTCAACGACACTTTCATCTCACCGCCTCGTTTCCTTGTCTCTTTCATATGCTCGTCGATCGCTTCCCCCACCCGTCCTGCAGTCAATGTGTTTAAAGCACTTTCGACCTACCTACCCACTTTATCACGACCCCCAGACCTAGGTTTCAACGCTGACGACCACTGGTCCCCTTTATCATAGCTGTATACTTTGCCGTAAATTTGGCACATCGCTCCACATGAGTACTCGATAATAATGCATTTTTCCAAATCTCTCTCAATTCACAGGGCTCTCCTACTTTCTCAACACAGGTCTGTCATGTCTACAAACTATTATGCATAATCTCACTATGGGAACCACTGAGATGCGAGTAAGTCACCTGTCTGCCCATCGCCGATCCTATTTCTGTATGCTCACTAGGCATACTTTCCCATGTAACGAGCATTTTAGAAGCTGCTTTCTTTTTTCGTACATATATCAATGGAATTCGTGTTGCATCCAGAAGTGTCTCTTCATTGCCCCGGATTTATTGTAGACTTCACTTTTTCACGAAGACTTCCGCGTAAACTGCCTCATCACTGTGTTCGAATTCATATACATTGAAACACACAGGCTGTGTGTGGGGGGGATGTGTTGTAGTGCGTCCAGTGTGACTGGTCGCATGGTCTCCAGTCCTTCCTCCTTTTGACACCTGCAGGGATCAAGACATTCGGGCAGTACCTATCACTTTCATTCACTAGACGATGGTAGCAATGTGCTTAACATGAGCCGGGGCGGCGGGGTTGCACTTCATCTACATGCCTACTGTGTTGACGAATGGCAAATGTTCCTTATTTCCCCGAACGCCTGTTGCAATTCTAAGCTTAATGTCCCTCCTGATTTCGGTTGACATTCTCCGTTCGATCGACGTTTTGTACGACCAGGTAGCATTCAGCAGGTGTGCGAGCACATGTCACGCATCGATCACGTGTCTTAATCCCATTTTTGCCGGATTCGTTTCTGCAACCTGAGTGATTTTCTCCCTTTCACCCCCTTTCCCCCACAGAATCTGGTTCTGGATTTACTGTTCAGTTTGTTCCCCTCACTGCCGACTCTACATCCGTCCATAGAGCATTTGGAAGCAGCTATTCTCAGTTTGACAGAGGCTTTGGCCACTCAAGCATCTAGCACCCTTCCCGTTTTCTCCAGCCGCGCTTCGTCGACACAGCCCCAATCGACCAGTGAAGGTGTCCTACTACCTCAGAGACAGCTGGCATGGGATATCACTGGAGGGTTTGTGGCCACTGAAGGCTGTCTGTTGTTCCCTCACTGGGCTTTGCTCTCCGGTTCCACCATTGACCTCGTTCAATGTCATTCCGCACTCCTTTTGGCTACCCTTATCCAAGCTGGCGTTTGCGAGGTGCGATATGACACATGCTTCTTTTCGCATGTGCTCTAGTTTGAATTTTTCATACACTGGCTTCTTTTAGGTACTTTGCTTGTTCCTGTTTGACGTTCCTCCCCTTTGCCCATACTGTCAAGTCATAGAGGCTACCATGTATTCGTATTCCCTCTTTTTCTATCGTATATGTCATTTGCCAACAGACACACACGTCGATGGTTTCATCCACTGTACCCATCGTCATCATCATGGTTGTGCTCGTTTTTTGTGAGATGTTTGTTGTCGTGACAGTGGATGTACAGCGGTCTTACCCGACGAGTTTCTTTCTTCGACCAATGGAATCTACTTATATGTTGTCATCTGCTTCAGCAGACACAACTCACCTCACCACTTCTGCTGCTGCTGCTGCTGCTGTGGTTTGGATATTCAGCACATCCACACCCGCCTTACTGATGCGTCTTTTGTTGTGTTCTACTTTCTCGGTATCGCAAGTCCCCCTAACGTTAACTGCACCACTACTACAGTGACTAGATGTGTGTGTGTGTGTTTGTCTTATCTGCTCATGTTTCTCCCTTCGTCTCCAGGGTCTTATACGGGCCATTTCCGATGTCAATGAGGCCACCTCCACCCGAGCCGGTTTATTATTAGGATTTATATCTTATAAGGTGAGTGACTTCATTTATAGTATTCTACGACCCAATGCTCTCTTTACCATTGAACGACAGTGGCTACTTCATTCCACTCTCTACGAATCACCGAGCAGGCAATTTCGTGCTCGTGGTAACCACTCCTCACGCATGTCCCTATATGCAATGGCCATAGAATAGTTTGTGAAAATTATCATGGTGTTAGCTTTACCATAGTTTCTGAACTTCTCCCAAACATCCTATCATAGAGCTTCTCTAGACTTCGGCACAGTAACATCAATGGGCTTAAATTGATCTCTGTCTCTGCAACAACTGCAATGATCATACCTTTGCGCTTTGTAAACTGTTGTGGCTACCGTATGCGTAAGTACAGGCTACCGTGACCACTCTGCTTGCTTTTTAAGATCGCTTATTTGTCGGTTCACCGCTCTCCATTTCCATGCGGTACTTCCCACCGTTGATTCCTGAGGCGGTGTAGCGACCTACAAGAAACCCTTTCCTATGTTTTTCATGACTGTTTGATCGCACCAAGACTTCCTACCGAAAAGATCTTCGGTTTATCTCTCCTTTTTGCCTCTTATTAGACGATACTATCTCGAATTGATCGCTTGGTAAACCAGAAGTTCATGAACATTGTGACCCCCCCTTGTTTCTCATCTGGTTACGGTACATCGGCTGATCGGCGTAAAGTGTTACGTGCAGTTTGCCGATTTTTGTCCTTGCGCACGTACTTCGACCGGAGTCGTTTTCATTGCATTGGAGCTTGTTACGGTGAAACTGAGTCCTATCGCGTTTGCCGGGTGCTTTGAGTTGGAAGCTTATTTCGTCGTTTCCGCATTCGCTTGTTCGCACCGTGCTCCCCTGCGTTGTGTGAGCATGCTCTCTGTGGATTCTAAATTAACGAGAGTAAACCGATCTACTGTTGGATGCTGAGTAGTAACTCTATTCTCCTATTTTTTCATTGCAAGCCACCCGTTTCTGTCCACTACCCATCATCTAACAGTCGGCTGTTTACGGAATTACCGATTTCAAGTTCCGTTATCTTTTGTTGACAACCTTTTCACTTCAATGCGAATCGCGGTCTACATTAAGATTGCGCGTCGCAATCCACTCACACAACATATACTTCAGATGGCTCCCGATTATGACAACCATTTTCTGTCTAACACTAAAAACTTGGGACTTCTCACACCCCCTATCATTCTGTTTTGCTGTGTCACGCTCGTTACGTGTTCGCATTGGTTGCTGTTTGAACGATGTATCAGTTTAATACTGTCCTGTTCTTGCGAATCGTTTCACTTATTCCTAAGTGAGCAGCCACGGTCTCACAGTACAACTTGTTCTGTCCACCGTCCTTAGTTCTGCCGTCCATACCGTGAATCCACTCTTCCTCTTGCAGAACGCATTTTATACTTTTCATATTGTTTTTACGGAACAACCATTGTCTCTCGGATGGTTTAACACGATTGGACCTTTTTTCGGCCCAAGCCACTGAGATTAACTTGCATTGGCTATCATGTTACATAAAAGTAAAACAGTGGGTTCCCTTTAGCCATTTAGTTAAAGCAGAGAGAAGACAGAGGTTGCGATATGTCATATGTGATATGTATGATATATGGACTGAAATACCGACTGCCGCGAAAAGCGCTAGACAAGGTCACCACGCAGGCGCATTTTGAGTATCTGAATGAACAGCTCAGTGATCTCACGCCAAGATCGACAGAAGATGCGGGTTGGTTTCGAGCGAAATTGGTAGATATTGCGAACCAGTTTTTGTGTACGCCGATAAGTCAGAGGTGCTGTCTGCAATCTGAACACTATACGGCGATCAAGGAGTTGAAACAAATGAAGCACGTAATGTTCCTGCAGCCAGATAAGGGATCGGGTATTGTAGTGATGAACAGGCCTGACTACATTTCGAAGATGGAGTCCATTCTGGAAGTTCCAGCTAGATAATACACCGGAAAACAACATCCTGGTGGAGAAGCAGGTGGCAAGGAAGCTCCAGATTCTCCTGCTACATGTTTACATCAATGAGTCACAATACAGGCACTTAAAGCCGACCGGAACACAGACACCTAGAATGCGAGGCGCTCCCAAGTTACACAAATCAGGATTTCCGCTACGTCCGATTATGTGCATGAACAATTCACCTTATCACAATGTCGCGCGGTGGCTGGCGAAACTATTAGATCCAGTGCGTAAACTCATCGCTACGTATTGCCTGAAAGACTCCTCTGAAATGGCCGAGACACTGGAATAATTGTCACTGACTGCAGAGCTTATGTACTTAATAGATGTGGACTCCTTATTCACAAACGTGCCTTTACGTGAGACGGTTGATAATTTATGTGATTTTATCCTGAGTCAAAATATGTCAGTTGGCCTGCCAGTGGAGTATTTAAAGGATATGATTCTATTGTGCACCGAGAACATACGGTTTGAATTTGAGGGGACCGCATACAAGCAGATCGACTGGGTCGCTATGGGCAGCCCGCTGGGACCAGTTTTAGCCGACATCTTCCTCGGCCTGATAGAAAGACAAATTGGTGAGAGCATTGGTCAAGCGAAATTGTACAGACGATATGTGGATGACATTTTAGTCTTCACCAACGGAGAACATTTTAATCGACTGCTGGCCATCCTAAATTCGATTCACCCTAATTTGTCGGTATCCCATGAAGTGGAACAACCATTGCCTGGCGTTTTGGATATACTCATAAGGAGACAGGCTGTAGGTACGTTGCAGCGCACTGTTCACCGCAAATCGACTTGGACTGGACAGTACCTTCATTTTTCAAGTTTCGCTCCGATCGCATACAAACGCGGGTTAGTGAGAACACTCTTCTACCGGGCTAGACGTATTTGCAGCCCCGAAACGTTACAAGCTGAAGAAGAATGTCTACGCAAGACCTTAATTTCTAATGGATATCCTGAGAAGTTTATTCAGGTACACAGCAGACCTCCCAGCGTGAAAACACCGGTGTTGACGGCTGAGAAAAAGAATGTTTATTTGTTCTTGCCGTTCAAGTGGGACCATGTGGCAGATGACATCGGACGCAAGCTCCGGTCCGCCCTGACGCGAACTTACACGACAGCCCAGTTGCGACACAGGCATACTACACGAGCACTTGTTCTTCAAAACCGTCAGAGCATCTCGTCGGTTAGCTCGGCCTCTCACGTTGTTTCTCAGTTCACCTGCGGTTGCGGTGACATTTACATAGGCAAAACAAACCGTCAGTTAGCTCAGAGGGTAGCTGAACGCTTGCCAAAGTGGTTGGGACAAGTGATAACGCAACAACATGGGACGAATCTGAGAATCAATCGGAGCCCGGCATCGTCTATCACCAAGCACCTCATGACAACCCGTCATCACGTGAATCCCGAGACAGCGTTCAAAGTGTTATTACGCAACAAAAACCCGATAATGCTAGCAATTAGTGAGGCGTTGTTAATTAAGGCTTATCAACCTGTGCTATGTGCACAGAAACTCTTGAGGCAATCAATTCGGTTGCAATGGTTTGACTGTGACATTTTGATTGGTGTTGCTTTTTTTCTTTCCATGTATATAATCCCTTGTGTGTTTCTGATCGTATTGTGTTTGCGACTGATGAGAACAATCGAAATGTTGACATATCGCAACCTCTGTCTTCTCTCTGTCTTAACGAAATATCATGTTACATGTCGTTAGAGAAGGTCTCAGTATCTCGTCACAACACCTAATTGGAATCTGGTATTGTCTCGTGCACCTCCAAGGACGTCAACTTTTGCTATTGCCGTCGGTGTATTTTTCGTCGTGTTACAAACACACAGGGTAATCCCAGTCATCTATTCTTCTCGTTTTATTAGCTCGCTTGACATTATTTTGTCTGTTTGATCGGCATCCGACAAACACCTTGTGTTGATATTACTGTTTAGTCACTCTGTGGGCATGCGCCCTTAATGCATCCACTTACTCCACCACTGTATGAAACTCGTTCAACAAGTTCTTAAAGGTAATTAGACCCCATAACTTGTAGACGCGTTGTCCATCGGTGTTCCAATGACACAGTACCCTTGCTGTAGAAGTCCGGATTTCGCTCTTGTGTAGACACACACCACTACATCATCATTATGGGGGGCAACAGCGGCAGCACTACATCAGCCATCTGAGCGGATGCTTCACTGCCACATAATCACAACGACCAACGAAAAGAAGAAGAAGAATAAGAAGCGGAGAGAGAAGGGGACTTCCCGGAGAATTTTAACGCCCTAAACACGCACTCAGGTTCAAGGCGCCTATACCTTATGTTAACAACATACCATTAAAAAACCATCATCTTGCGAAAGCAGCATCAGTGAGACATCTTCCTTGGGGCTTTTACTTCCCGGCATCATAATCAGCCATTACCCCGCAGACAACACAGCACCAAACACACTTTAAACAGGCAATCCGATTAGGAGGCGGCAGCAGACGCGCCACTGGTGTCGACTGCGAGCCATGTGCTGTATACTCTGGAGCCCAGCACAAGGTGAGTCACTTGGACTCCAGTCTGGAAGGCGAGACGGACCGATAGCACCGAGTTGAGTCATCAGTAACATCATTTCTCGCTGCCAAATCAACTTCTGTCCACCTCGAGCCTTGCGCTACCCTACACCGGGCAGACTAAACAAGGCCTAGGTAAACGGTGACCAAGCATACGTAGCACGTGTCCAAACCAAGGCAATTTAATCATCGCTGACACAACTCTAAAACTGCAATGGCGTCAGAATCACTGTCAACTATTTTGCTACGAATGTGATCCTTGGGCCTAGAAAACAACTAAGTCATTAGGAGCTAATTCTGGAGAATAGGGTGCTTTTTTAAGCAATCTGAATTTTTCTGACAAATCACGGCAACCTGTGAGGTGTAACCGGGAAATTTGTCTTGAAGGAGCATAACCTTAACTTGCTCCAACGCTTTGATGGTTTCCCGAAGTCGCTGAATTACGTATGCAAAATACTGACCAGTTATTGTGGCATCAAGGTCCAGTTTATTA